ACGTTGTTTATAACATTCAATGTTCACGAACGTGCATATTCACTGTATATGAACAAAAAACTTACACAGAACGGAGCCGTTACAATAGACATAAAGTTAACCTTTTAAACCATTGCACAAGGTCTATTTGGATTTAAATGTTTCCGTCCCAATAGACTTGTACAACGGGTTCTTACACGGTGTCTGCACTTCCTGTATGGGATTGTCTATTTTTAGAAGAAGAAAAACGATACCACTGTATATCTTCTAGGAAATGCAAGATAACAAGATAGTTGATACAAGTGTATTTTATGTTCGTTTAAAGCCATAACGTTTTATAGGTATAAAGGATTATACATATAAGTAACACCAAAGAGGAGTTTGGTGACTGTTATCAATTTGTCTCAAACTCATTTCTTTCAAAACAATCAGTCACATCTTTCAATTATAAGTCTTTTCAGTTAATTCTCGTGTAGATGCAGCAAGCTATTTTTTAAAAAAAGCATATGGTTGTCATTATTTATGTTTAAAAACTTCAACGTTTTTCTAGGAGGTTATCACGTTGTAGCATCGATAGCAGGGATGAGGTTTCCTAGGAAATAGTTAAGAATGTGATAGGCGGAGGTGTTTGTTTCAGAATTTTTTTTCGTTGGGGGGGGGGGGGGGCAATTGAAAGTTTCTGGGGGGGGGGGGGAGTAAACTAAATTTTCCTGTGGGAGGGAGGCAGATACTGGTAAAAAGTATTTATTTCTATATAAATTCAATTTCGTTTGGGGAGGGGGGCGGTAGGACGTTCTCCTTTCTTCCCCCCCCCCCTCCTCCCAGGAGAGATGCATGGAAGAATGGCGGAAGTCTGCGGGATAGGTACGTGCCGTCGTTAAACGGGGTATGCAAAAAATATCCGTGTATTAAGAACTGTGGGGTTAATTAGGGCATGTGTGACCTGTGTAGAAATAATGTACCCGGATCATGAGGGTCAGTTCAGCCAGGGACGTTTCGATCTCGAGCAGTGTTTTTTTTTTCAGACATTTGTTTCCGGAGAGGGGGCACTTTAAACTTGGGGGGGGGGAGGGGAGACGGGCTAAAATCCTAAAGGGAGAGGCCGAGGCGCACGCTGGTTGAAGGGGGTCTATATTTTTTATAAAAATTATGTTTCGTTCGAGGTGGGGTCCCACCCAACTCTGATGGGTACCTAACTCACGTTAGGGAAAGTAAAGGCGGCTGGGCATAGTGCTGACCACACTATCTCTTCATATGCCGAGGTCACAGAAACAAGTGAACTCTACTTCACATGTCCCATAGGCCGTCAGGTTTGAAAGGGAAACTACTTTTACTTTACGAGGTGGGGGGAAGGCAGTAGACGTGCTTCGGGGATTGAGCGCGTGACCGCGCCCTCAAAGCGATGAAAGAAATTCTGCTCAAAAGGACCACAGAGCAAGGCAAATAAAAAGCAGGCAAAAGAAGAGTTGGGAAGAACACAAAGGAATGAACTGGTTTGAGATTGGTAAAATCTCTGACGATGAGAAAAAACAAGGTGCTAGTGAGAAAGACGATCGAAAGGAAACTTGGTGCACCTACGGCCAATCTAGACTAAGTGCAGAAGAGGATCTGAGTTAACTAGATTTTTTAACACATTTGCACCAGGCCCATAAATAACCGACTACACTCGAATACACCACCAGTCGTGGGGAAAATTCTACGAGAAGCTGGGACGGCTAAGTAGCCGATCGTTGCCTTAGGGGTCATCCATAAATGACGTCACACTCGTAGGGGGGAGGGGGGGGGTCCGTAATTTTGTGACGATGTGTGATGAGGGGGAGGGGGGGGGGTCAGATATTGCGACGTCACATTTTTGCATTATAAAAAAGCAATGCTAGAAAACGAATTTAAGACGTAATTTCGCGTTTTAGATAACTGTTTTAATAAATTGTAATAGTTTAGACAAGATTTTGGAAAAATATCAATGTTTAAAAAAATTCAACTGCAATTTTGAGGAGGGTTGTAGGTTGAGGTGTGACGTCATTTTAGGGGGGGGGGTCTGGCTTTTTGTGACGAAGTGTGACGGAGGGGAGGGGGGGAGGTAAAAATCGTCAAAAAAAGCGTGACGTCATTTATGGATGACCCCTTAATCCCTATCCAATCCAGGCTATATCGTATGCAATTAGAAGTGTGTGTGTTTGGGGAGGGGGAGGACTTTTGACACCCCTCTCCCATACGGTACGCCAGTGTTTCTTCTAGAATTTTCCAGGGAGGCACTTGCAATTTTCGGGGGGGGGGGGGGGGGGGGGTAGGGGGTCGGATTAAAATTTCCGCGGGGGGTGCGGGGGGGGGGACACTAGTAAAAGTATATATTTTCTATATGAATTGTATTTCTTTCGGGGGGGGGCGGTAGACGAGTTGCCCGAAAGAAACTCTGTATTACACACACACACATACACACACACACTGAGCTGATATTAAATCCGATTCGACACTTCATGGCTTATTCTATAGACCTACAATAAACAATTTTCATCTTTAATAAATACCATAATTTAGAACTAAATGAAAAGGGCAGCTGTATAGTTGTATTGTTATCTTTTTCATTTGTAGGCCTGCACATCCGTATAATATACCCATCATAAGGTCTTTACAAAAAGTCTTTGTAATAAGGGCAGGGGCTTTCTAGTCTTGGCAAAATTATTACCATTATTCGTTTCAACCGTAACAAAAAGCATAAAAATATTGTAATTACTACTTTTTTTCTAATTAGTATTAAGTAAAAAATTCAACAAATGTAGATGTAGTCCTAGATTCTAGAACTATATCTAAAATTAAAAACTTAAAATGACACGTTTTGTCATTCGTGTGTTCAACTTCCGTATACATAGCTATTTTGGCTTAGTGGAGTGTTGCAATCGTTAGACCAGTAAAAATTTAGTTTCCTTGTTTACTGTGTAGATCTAGATCTAGATTCTAGTGGTGCTCATTCACTGAGTGTTGGTGAGTGGTATAAAAAATTGTACTATAAACGTATTAGATCTAGTCATTATTGAATGATATCAATCAGTGGATTTTCCAATGCAATTTATGTAAATGTATTCTTACCATCTCAACTATCGTTCTTTTTCACTGAAACGACTGTTGTTTAACCCTGTGTTTGTTAAAATTTGTAATCTAGGCCTAGCCAGGGGCAGGGCTAGGTGTAGCAGAGCAGACTCACTCCTGTGTCTGTGTGTGTAGAACTGTAAATTAGGTTAATTAACAATTAGCCTTGTCTACTCTACTGTAACTATAGGTCTAGTGTAAGTAAACTCAGCTCTTCTCCAGTTATTCACTGTTATAATAGTTAATAGAGATCTAGATTTCTAGATTCTAGTTGAAGTTCTCTTCTGAAATTTGTATGGAGCAACTAAAACTCAGACTCACAGACTGTGCTGTTACTTTATTGTAGAAGTAGAATCTCTAGACTAGAGATCTAATCTTAAACAATCTAGATTCTATAAATAATAAAGTATAGGCCCTACAGACTAGTACTAGATCTAGTAGTAGTAGATCTACCATCTAGCTAAAATAAAACATTTGGCTATTCTAATTACTAGTAATTAGAATAGTAATTTTACTTTAGGCCTATTGAGTTTATTTTAAGAATTTGTTATGTTTTTTTGTCACTTGGTTGAAATTTGCAGGGCTTAACATTATTATGATTAAAACAATGTAGAAATCTATCTATTTCTCTAGTATAAGCTGTAGGCCTAATTTATAAAACTCAGCTAAATGTATTAGGCATTAGGCCTATACAATGTTTTTAAAGAGTCCTAAATGCCTAAAAGAATAGAAATGTTAAGTGCTGTGTGCTATTGGGCCTAATTCACAAGTACTGAAGGACATTAAAACCATATAGTTTAAGAATAAAACTAGTGAGTGTTTTAAGCTAACAACTGCTAGCCTTTTACAATATGCAGCATATTATTCAAAATGTCTCTATGTAGAATAAAGGGTATCTCTATCTGCCAACAGTTTCAAAATTACTTTTTGCTGGTGTTGCTACCCTATGATCATATTAGCTGGATCGAACAAATGTAACCCTGTATTCTTCTCTTAGTATATTTAGAAGTATTAAAATAGTAAGCAACAGTTATAGAGAATGTTCATTAATCCGAAGAGATATTTGCCTTCCCTGTGGTCAGTAGCAACACAAGATGGGGGGGGGAGTGTTGTCCGCACCTACAGACAACATGTATGGGTGACTTCTAAAAGAAAAATTGTAATATTTACTGTAAAGACAAAGTTTTTACCTCTTTAAATAATAAAATAAACGGGAAACGGAATTGCAACATTGTTGGGAGGGGGGGGAGTGATACCGTCAGTGTTGCCGCAAAGGATTTCACTAGACCTTGTGACGCCATTGCATGTAGTTTACTTTAAAGGAATAATAGCAAAATTTAATAATAAAACAAGCTCAATTTTAACCACACTAGATGATGGGGAAAATGCTCTCTGTTGTAACTGATTTCCTTTAAATGCAATATCAGTATGTTTCAATTTTTAAAATGATTTACTATAAATTGGATTTTTGACTAGGTTAGGTCAAATAAGTATAAGACACTTAAAATATTAAGTTGGACAAGAAACGTTTAGTTTCAAGAATATTTAAATGACAGCTTCAGTGCTTCAAATGTGATATTTATTTTTAATTGTTATTATTATTTTTATTATTATGAAGAAATTAATTTGAAAACAATTCTTTTTTTTTCAGAATATGTTTGAGTTCTTAAATTCAAATTTTGTATTTCCAAAAATGGACAAAATTAAAAAATAATCAAATGAACCAGTTTAAAAGATTATTAGATGATTCTGCATTTCCAAATATGGAGAGTGTGAAACATGGGCAAAGACTTCTGATGGCTTTAGACCCATCTTCCAGTAACATAAACGATGCCCCAGTTCTGCAGAATATTAGTGGAGTTCTTGTAGCAGCAGGAGGAGTTGTTTCCCTTCTTTTCATTGTGCTGATGTGTGCATGTAAAGACAGGTATGTAAGGATGTCTCTTGTCTAACTGTAACAGTCATATTTTCACTTTTGTGTTACATTTGGCTGTAAGGTTACAATATTTCTATTTTAGTGAAAATAGGATATATTATTTTAATGTTTGATAAGTAGTTTGACTAGGCTATTACTCTTCAGAGTAGTAACTTGCTTTTTAATACCTCTTTTCAAGTGTAGCTTCAAGTTTACTTTTAATGTTCATGTAAAACAAAGAATCACCAACAAAGTCTACTAGTGCTATGCTCATTCCTTGAATAAAACAGTCTTAAACCTACCCTACGCTAATGGCTACTTCTATATGTCTGATGGGAAAATTGATATAGATTTATACCAATATCTGATAATGTCAAATTAATGAAATATTCTTAAATGAAGGGTGTGAGGTTACTGGTAATTAACTATAAACTTACTAATGTCAATACTAACCCAAACCATAACACTAGTCCTATCCCTAATTCTGACCCCAACACTAAACTTGATATTACTATACTACTAACAAGTTAGCACTCTTAGTTTTGGAAGGTTCCAATCTCATATGCTGTTACAAAAAGTAACATTCTGCTTCTCATTGCAAAATTCTCTTACCTGAGTTTACCTGTTTCTATAGAATTTAGGTGTAAGTTACACCTAATTTCTATAGAAACAGGTAAACTCTACTTCTTCTGCCTTGCTGATCATCCAAAGTGAAGAGATCTATTTATTATTTAACTAGTGTTATTTAACTAGTGTTAATGACCTGAGATGAATTCTTAACATTGTCTATTTTAATAATGCTCTAACTTGTGCACTTGAAAGTAAAATTTTAGGCATGTATATATTGCATTGTTTATTTGTGCTACTTTTTCCCAGTAAACAAACAAATGAAGAAGACACAGCACTGCAGGATAGAGAGCAGAATGTGAGTTCACTTTTTGATTGGCTAATTTTTACCTGAATTTTTAACTTTTTTAATAATATAAATTAACACATGATTTTTAATTAATTTTTTCAGTTTTGTGCATAATCTTAAAAGTTTTATTTTTCTGTATTTTAATGTATTGTAGCCTACATTTTACAAAGTTTATTTGTATAGCAATGATATTCTTTTGACAGGGCTCTGCTAAGGTTGAAAGTGGTGAAGCCAAAATGAAAGAAGTTGGTGAAACAGTGGTTAACATGACCAATGGGGGACCACCATCTTCAACGGGGTTGGTATTGATTTTTTAAATTTAGAAATAGAAAACAATATGCTTTGTTTTTATCTTTAATTGAATTGTGTTTATTTTGAATTGGACAATTTTTTTCAGATTAATATAAAATTTTATTAGAAATGAATAGAATATATTATAGAAATAAATAGAATATACAACTTCATTGTTTTCTTTTTAATTAAATTATGAATTTGGAAAATATTTAGATTGAAATAAAATGTTATTATATTTATATTGTTATTATATTACTATTTTAGTAACAAAAACGCCTGCTTTCACTCCCTCTACACAATTAGAAATCAATAGTATAGTCTATAATTTTGTTTTTACTAAAACTAAATAAATTGCATTGAACAGAGTTTTTTTTTTTTTTTTCTAAATGTAATTTGTACTAAATTGATGACTCTAAAATTCCCAGGCATAGTCGTCAAGCCAGTGCCGGCTCTGCCCACATGAGACCCACAAGCTTACGAGAACTGCCGGAACCCCCTGTGTTCAATCACGTACGCAACAGTTCCATGTCAGGACCAGAGCTGCCAAACTCATCAATGAAAACCAGCGGCGCTAGCTCGGCTGCCGGAGCAGATTACTCCCACGTCCAGCACCCTCCCAGAAATAATGCTGGCAATAAAAACTCCATGGTCGGCAACAGTTCCGGTGTTGAGAACAAGGTGACGTCACACAGCTACGGGTACGATCATCTGCATGCCAAATCTGCAGCTAAGCCTACAGGTAGGTCTAATATTTAGCTTTTTATCCTACATAAAGTCTAATATGGGACGGAGTAGTCTAGCGGTAGAGAGCTGGACTGCTAACCTGTAAGTCTGGAGTTCAAATCCGGGTTCAAGTCAGTAGACCATCCCTGAGTCCACCCAACTCTGATGGGTACCTAACTCATGTTAGGGAAAGTAAAGGCTGGGCATGGTGCTGACCACACTATCCCTTCATATGCTGAGGTCACAGAAACAGGTGAACTCTACTTCACTTGCCCTATAGCCCGTCAGGTTTGAAAAGGAACTTAACTTTACTTTTTTAAAGTCGAATAAGGCTATTAAACAAGTTTCCAGTACAGAAAATCTACTTGTATCAATTTTTTCTATAACATTTTTCTACGCTACATTACAAGTTATTTAACTGATTTCCTTTTCTGGGAGGGGGGGGGGGGGGGGAGGCAATGGCTTTTACAGTAAATCACACCATAACCCAATTATAATCGCTGATGCCATTGTGTATTGTTTTCACTCTGTCATGGATAGTCTTATAAGTTTTTTAAAAAAACTGAGATAACAATTTGCCAATAAAATTTTGTCCCAAAAGTTAAAAAGTTGTTAAAAAGTTAATCGTTTCCTAAGACCAAAAGTTGAATCATTTCCTAAGGCTAAATGATGAATCATTTCTTAAGGCTAAATGTTGAATAATTTTCTAAGGCTAAATATTGAATCATTTTTCTAAGGCTAAATTTGAATTATTTCCTAATGCTAAGTATTAAATCATCTCCCTTAAACATTTAAATTTAACTTTTTCCCTAGGTTATAAGTATAAGTTTAACCATCTCCCTAGACTATAAGTTAAATTATTTCCACAGACTATGATATCTTGGCTGGGCCAAGTAACGAGGATGAAGAAACACCAATATCAGAATCTGGGAGTGCTGGAGATGGACACTACTCTCATCTGAAAGAGTCCAGCTATGCTGTAGTGAAAGATGTGAAACAACAGGGGGCAGCACTGTATAGCTCTCCAACAGAGAAAACTGTGAATAGTGCAGCAGATGATTATTATACACAGGTGAATAATCTCCCTTTGATTTTATCAACATTTTACTTAATAAAATTTTACATCTAGTTTTAATACAAGGTTAACAACCATTTTTGGATAAGTAACATTTTTTTATATTTTATCAGCTGTTAAAATGCTCAATAAACCTTATTTGGCTACTGACTTTGAAAGCTAATGTATTTGACAGAGTTTTTTTCTCTTCCCATTTTATTTCTGTTTATTTAGAGTCAAATATATTCAGTCAACAAGCTCATAGTTTGTTCAAATACTTCGTCCCTTATCTTGTTCACTTAACACTTTATCTTGTTTATTTATTGTTGATTTAAATAATTAGCTGTAATCAACTTTAAGATTTAGGCTTAAAAGTAAAGATTGACTTTTTTCTAAACCACAATAGTCTCCATTGAAATTTAATTACATTTAAGCTTTTGATATAGATCTATTTATTTTTTTCACACTTGTGTTTTAGTTTATAACACAATTTTTTAAGTTTAAGTTATAGCTAAGTTAAAGAGTCAATCTGAAAGTCGCAAACATATCTGTAATATAGCAATAATTTATAATAAATAAATTTAACCAGCCTGAGAAGTTTAGCTTGAGAGTAGTTAGAAGTTTGTTGTTTATGTTTCACAGTTATACATTGTGTTAGGTGGATGCTGCTTTTTTTATACACATAATTATAATTTTATTTTTCTTGTATTTAAAAAAACATTAATGTTTATGGAGGCTGCTTTAATTATATTGGATAATATGAAAGCAAGTTTGTATGAATGTAAATATGTTTGTAATACTTGTATTATTTTTTAAAAAGTTAAATGTAATGAAAATTTACATACTGAATTTAACTCGAAAAACATTTTTTTTCGCAACGTGGACAGGTGAAAGATGAAGATCCTTACAATCACATAGGTGATTCAGATGGCAGTGTCCCCACTTCATTTATTCAGAGGCTCAAACAGGCCAAGGACCTGGATGACCCTTATGCCACTGTACAGGAAGAATCTGAGGGCAACTTACAAACAATTCTTGAGGAGGGGGCCACATCTAGAAGTGAGTACATGGCTTTCAAGTTTTAAATATGCTTCGGTTTGATAGGTTGCATGTAGAGCAAGTGGAATACACTACAATACAATAAGACTTAAACCCAGACTTGACTTTGCAATTTTAGGTTAGCAGTACTAGGCTCTACCATTTGACCACGTAAACTGTTAATGTATTGTTTGCTTTTTAGATTCATTACATCACCTAGGCGGGGCTGTGGGCATGTCAGCTAACACAGGTATCACAGAAGACGACTACGCTGTTGTACTGAAGGACAACAAGAGTTCCAGCGCCAACTCAAGGAACAGGCAGTCTTACCCCGGGGCCGGACCTGAGGACAGCTACAACATGAGACCACCGGAACCCCCCAGACTGTACAACGATTACGAAGAAGACGACACACGCATGTTTGTCGTGACCACTCCGCCTGGCAACAAAAAAGGTAAAGTCATGTGATTTTAGTTAGTACACCAGTAAAGTCATGCGACTTTAGTGGTGCACTAAAGTGATGTGATTTTAGTACAGCACTAAACATAGATTATTTTCTTGTTTTTGACTAACCCCCTTTGGAAGAAGAAACGTAATCTTTTGATGTGAGAACTACTTGGAAAAGATAGGTAATCTGGTGTTTTTACAACACTACCTGGAAAATAAAAATGTGTGTTTTTAGCTGGAATCAGAAAGGTGATCTTTTAATGTGACAAGCCCACATTCAAACACATGTAAATAACATTTTCATGTACATATAATTATAAAATAAAATAGTGAGCGATTTTAAGTAATCAATTTATTTATAAAATAATAAAACATTTTAAAAAAACATTTCCATAAAATAGACTTTTAAAGAAAACATTTTAAATTGGAAAATGTTATGGATAATGTAGGAAAAAAAAATAATTTTTTTTATTTTACAAAGCTATGTGATTTTTAACTTCATTTTTCATTTTTTCCTAGATCACAAATATTCCAAGGTTACAGCGCGTGAGTCACTAGCAAGTATGACTGCCAGAAATGCTTTAAACACTTATGAGATAGTCCCTGACCTTCCAGAAAATACTTATGCTACTGTAAGTATTTTTCTTAGTGAATGATGAAGCATTTAACTGTTGCATGGTCTTAACATAGAAGTAAAAAATTTAAAAGGAGTAGCCTCTTCCGAACTACTTTTACACAAATATTAGAGGTTGGAAAGTATTGTTTAGCAAACACAATCCTTATATATAAGTATATAAGTCATTCACAAAGCCTTATCTTTATTCATTTTTAAACATTGTTTTTTTAACGAATAGGGTAATTTTGTGGTATGAAGAGTACGTTTAAGATCAGTTAGTTAGTCCAAAGGGCAAATGAAGTAGAACTCATCTGTTTCTGTTACTTTAGTATATGTATAGTCTGTTCTATGCACAGTTGTCTTTACTCAAGCCATAATCAGGTATTCAACAAAGCTGAGTGAACTCTGCAACAAGTTTTTGTTATTTGGTATATGAACATGGTGTATTGTCAGTTCTATGCAGTTGTCTTTACTCAAACTATAGTCAGGTATTCAACAAAGCTGGAGTCAGCAACTAGTTTTGTTGAGATTTTGGAACCAGGATTGAGATTTTATTATACAGCAATTATATACTTGTTCATACAGTCCTAAATTTTGCTGGTTCTCATAGTATAAAACTTTTTTTTAAACTGGCAATTATTGTAAGTTGTTGTTTTGGTAGAAAATTTTCTTGTTATAAAAAATTTGTTGAAAAAATGTATTTTAAAAAAAATTCTTTTTTTTGTTACAGGTGGAAGGTGGATCAGGTGATGGCATTGTGTTGAGAGCTGGCATGTCCATGAACCAGGAGAACAGACTCAGTCAGTCCAGTGACACTTACGCTGAAATTGGTGAGCTTTAGAGTTAACACAAAACTCTGAATATTTTTTAAAAACCTGCAGTAAATGCAACAAAACAAAACACTGTGATTCTTGTTTGGAGTTTGGACTCGTCACTTTTCAAAACTTATTGAAAAAATTGTTTTATTTGTTTTAATTATTTACTTTTTAGTAATGGTTTTTAAAAAGTAAAAACTATAAGAAGAAATCAATTTTAATACTGTAAATAATGATTACATAAAGTTGTTTCGCTAAACTATTTACTTATAATATTATACAAGAATAAATAAATTTTTAATTTTGTAAATAATGATTACATAAAGTCATTTAGCTAAACTATTTACTAATAATATTATATAAGAATAAATAAATATTAATATTGTAAATAATTATTACATAAAATCGTTTAGCTAAACTATTTAGTAATAATATTATATTAGAATATATAAATTTTAATTTTGTAAATAATTACATAAAGTGGTTTAGCTAAACTATTTACTAATGTTATTAAATAACTTTCCTTGTATGCTATTACATTTTTGTTTTGTTTTCAGACAGAAATGGTTATTCTTTTTAGTTTTGTGCTATTAATAAATCCACCATATCTCCTTCCTAACCTCGCACGACTAAAACAAATTTAAAAAAAAATTTTTACTTACTTAACTCTTAACACTTCCTGAGAATCTTGTTCAGTTATGATTTTGTGTGTTACTTGACTGTGTCTGCTAATTATGTTGCATTATTATTTATTTATTTTTTGTAAATGTCAAATTTGCACTGGCACAGACCCTCACAATCCCCCAATAGTTTGTGTCATGTTTAGAAACCACCTGTCAAACTCATTTTATTTCCTTTTTGTAAATACTTTATTGTGATAACCCGGTGAATAACAAACCCCTGTAATCAGACGGTATTTAGACTAACCAAAATAGTGAAGTCTGAAGTCCTGGGACCCTCCCCCCTGCATACATTTTTTTGGTGATGGAAACACCTAACCTATTTTTGTTTATTTTAATTTTGTTATAATTCACTTGCATGTAACAACTAAACCAAATAAATAAGCAGTTACCTTGATGTTGTTTTTTTCTCTTTTTAAATGTTTTTGTGTTGCATGTTTGTTTAATTTAATTTTTCTAGATCTATTCTGTGATGTGTAAAAATGAAACTTTATGTTAATTTAGCCTTTTTCTTTATATCCTTGAATAAATAATTATGATCAAAACAATCAGTTTTAACTGTAGATGTCTAGATCTAAATGATATTTTTTATATTTGAAGAGTTATCTGATGTACAAAAAGTAACTTTTTATGTCTAGTAAGTACAATAGTGTGTAATCTTTAAATAAAGGATCAAAAAAATCAAAGGATATCATTAAAAAAGTGATTGCAGCTGTTGTTTAACTTTCTTTTAAAATCAAATGTTATCAAAGGGCTGTTACCACTACTTTATGTCTGTGAGGAGTAACTCTTCTTATTGTTTTGTCATTGTAAACAGTGGTTATCTAACCTTTTCACTTCTGCCTCAGCTATATGTGTTTGTTTGTAGTTGATTTTTTCCTAACCAGACCCAGTAAATTTTTATCTAAACTGTTTATTATTTAAACTTAACCTGAAATACTGGCTTATGGTAAGTAATATTTGCTTGAGATTTGGATTTGTTGTTTGCCTAGGGCAAGATTTTATAGAAAAGTTATAATCAGGCTCCACAAGTGGCTTTTTAAACAAGCATTTCACATACACAAGTTTTTCTTACAGATGTTGATCTTATCCACTCTTTTAACCCATGCACCTGATTTATGAACTTTTTTTTATTACATATGTACCTGATTTATCAACTTTTTGTTTCATATGTATCGGATTTTATCTACTTATTGTTACAGTTGTATATCTGATTTTATCTACTTATTGTTACAGTTGTATATCTGATTTTATCAACTTTTTGTTACATTTGTTTCTGATTTTTATCAACTTTTTGTTACATATGTATCTGATTTTTTTGTACTTATTGTTACATATGTATCTGATTTATCAACTTTTTGTTATATATTCATATATCTGATTTGATCAACTCTTTATTCCAGGTATATCAGGTGGAGGACTGAGCACCAGTGTCATCAGCAACAGCAGCAGTATTGGAGGCGCCAACAACAGCAGTAGCAGTGGCGCCCCCGTCCCTCCATCCCTGGACTCCCTACACCTAATGACCAAGTCCCAGACGTCCAGTGAAGGTGACCGGCTGAGTGACCGGCACCTGGCCTCACCAGAGGACACTGGCCTTCACCTTTTGGATGACGGCGACTCGGCGGACAGCGGTGAGGACGGTTACAGTACGTTGAAGAGACCGGATGGGTTCTCTCCCCCTGTGGCCAGCTTAAACAACAGTAGAGGTTCCTCGCATATACTTGATGAAGACTCAGGGGAGACGACTGCAATCTTAAACTTCCATTCCCTGAATGGCAATCACTCGAATAGTCTCCACGAAGACTTGGAAAACGATCCTAATTACGAGAGTGTTGATGAAACAAGGGCGAAGGTCGCTGCTCTGCGAGCGAAAGAAAACTCTCATTTTCACCCCGGTGCTACTATGTCGGTGAATGTGAAATCCAGTAAGCATTCAACGAACAATGAGACCTCAGGCCCAAGACGCAGAAGACCTGATCACGATTACGAGGAGGTGGACATTACCCCGCCATCTTCCCCTGTTATCCCCAACGGAGCGATGTCATCGTACAACCCCCAGTTCTCCCCCACGGTCACCCCAACAGCTGATTCAAACATGGATCAAATTTTTGACTCTCATATGTATGAAGAGCTCTCGGAAGTTCGAGCCAAAAAGTTGAACATGAATAAATCAAAAAGTTCGAGCGGGTCAAAGTCTGAGGATAAGAGGAAGAGTACTTTAGACAAGAAAAAAGGAGCCTCGCTTGATAAACGAAAGGGCGAGGAGGAGAAAAGGAAAGGCCACTCTGACGACAAAAAGAAAGGAAACTCTGACGATAAAAGGAAAAGTGCAGTGGAAGAGAAGAAAAAACATGAAGAGAAAAAAAAGAGTGCGTCTGATGAAAAAAAGAGGAGCCAGGCTGAGGAAAAACAAAAAACTGGATCATCCCACACTAATGGAACAAGATTATAAAATAGTTCATGTATTACAATAAAATTGTGTCACTTAAATTTGTCAAAAGGTAACCTAACACTATTTCAATGTGCATTTTGCAATTTATACTGTATGTTTTAAAACCCTTTTTTGCCAAAAAAATTTTATTTTTCCCAGACACACGAGTTTATACATCAGCTTGCGTCAACATTTTAGCTCAAGCAACTTTTTTTAGCCCTACTAACATTCTGTTGTATGTATATAGATCTAAAATTTTTTTTTTCACTCGCATTTTGTATTTGTTGTAACACTAGTTGTTGAAACTTAATCAAAATTATTTTTTTTGTTCTGTAAACTGCTAATTAAAATTGTGATTTATTTTTTTTAAATTAGGCAATGTTTTGATGCAATATTGGCCAAGGTTGTTCGGCATCTCATGGCTTACTGTCAGCCTTCATAGATCTGGATTGTAAAATGTTGTATTTTATTTGCAGTTAATTAACACAAATACTTTATTATTTAATTTACTTTAAGAGATCTTAATTCATTTTACAAAAATTCTACATTATCAATAATCTGGGCTATGTACTGAGTATTATATTATAGCTTTATTCGTTTTATCTTTTGTAAAAGTTAAAATTACCACATAAACATCTTATTTTTAAATAAGTAACAATGAAAACTTTAAATGTTAATTTGATATTTTTCTTATTTAGTTTATTTATTCTTATTTAATTTGTAAACAATACCAATTTTTTTAAAAACATACTATAAAACGAAGAATAACGAAAACTTTAATGTTGACATAATTTTTTTTTTAAAAATATTAATTTATTTAAATAGTAAACTTCATTAATTAATTAAAAACCCTGTCTTGTTTGAAACAAAGTAACGATGAAAACTTTTGATAAAAACATTCCCAATATTATACCTCAGCTTCCTGTGTTTGCTCTGATGTGTGTGTTGTATTTATCAGTGTGAGATGGTGTAAATACAACTATTTGCAAGAATTGTTGTCGTTGCTTTAAGTAGTAATGTGTCAATGAATGTGGAAAAATTTTTTTAGCCATGGTTTAACTAGTATTCTGTGAACACAAAAATAAAGGTTTTAGTGTAGAAAAAAGTTGTATATTTTTTTTGGTTGGTTAAATTGTGGAGTTAGTAGTGAATTATTTTCATAAGTATTCGGCTTAGTTCAGTAGTTTTATAAAGAAAATAATATTATTGAAAGTTGTGAAAGTTTAACAATTAATTGGAAGTTTTGTGAACAAGGATCTGTTTGATTCAACTTTGTATGTCAGCGAAAGTTGTCAGCATTTTACTACAATGTCTGTCCTAAGCATGAACAGCCGTCTGTCAATAATATTTTCTGTTCTTACGACACAACTCAATGCTGGCATGTGTTGAATGTACATACATTTTTAATTACATCTATATGTACATACATTAAGTTATTGCTATTTTTTCTGAATTTTTTTTTATCATACCTTATTTATTGTGGTCCACAGTTTTCATGCCACTATGTGTTATTTACATAATTTTTCTTCATTCTAACTAGCACTCAACCATTTCATTTTTAAAATATTTGTGTTTAATACGCTGAGAAAGTTAAAATTATACACATATATACTTATATATATATATATATATATATATATATATATATATATATATATATATATATATATATATATACTGATATATTGAGGGGGGGGGTTGAAAACACCCTATAACAAAATCCTGGAAACACCTCTGTTAAAGGCTATATGAATAAATTTTAAACTACTTAATGATGTCAAATTAAAAATGCTAGCCTAAACTAATTTTTTTTTTAGTAATTATGATTTTGAGTGTATAGCCAACACTCAAGAAAATAATATGCATATCTAAGGCCAAATAAAAAATTCTTGTAAGATGTCAGTTTTTAGTTGCTACCGGATAAATTTTGAAGGCTCATGTATAATGTAGTCTAATATTTAAAAAAACTCTAGATTATACTAAGGTTACAATAAATGCATGCGTTTTTAACAATTATTGTGAGTGCTCAAGATGACCTAATTTTACATATTTTTTACTGGCTCATAAAATTATTTTTTTTAGAATTTATTTCCAATCTAGTTTTTTTTTTTTTTTTTAAAAAGAACTTTACTATAAGGAAGCAAAGCTGGAATTTTGTATACAGTATAATTTATATAGCTGATTTTATCAACTCAAAAGTTGCTTACCTTTGTGGCTATTTTTGTGTCACTCCCTAAAAAAACTTCTTTGCAAAACTCATAAAATATATCATAAAATAAAACAGTTGAAAAACTTAAATTGACATTATGAAAAGAAACAAATATCTTTTTTCTTATTCTATGTCTAAACTTAAAGAAAAAACAATGTAGTTTTTTTTTAAATATTGTTTATTCATAGTTATTTATTATTGGTCTACAGAAAGAAAGGATCTCTAGCTGTAGGAAACGGTTATGGGAAGATTGACTTAGCTTGAGAATATGGATGTCTTTTTACTGCAGATAATTGCCAATTCTTTTATAATATAATTTTGTTATGAGGAATCAGATCTCTTACATTGTAGATCTGGAGTGATTTTTCTTCGCTGTTTGATTATGGAATAATCTGTCAAAAAAATTGTGACTGCTAGATTATACAATAAAAATGTTATGTTAAAGTAAAAAAAATGTATTTAAAATTGAAAGTTTGTGTTGAAGTAAAAATAAAATTATCTAAACACATTGCAAGTATAATACACTTTTTAAAATTGAAATAACATTTATTACACTATAATGTGTTTGTAAGTTGTGTTTTTTTTTTATTTTTCCATTAAATAAATTACATGTTTAATTTTTATTAACTTTGTAAATATATCTTATTTACAACAATAAAATTCTTGTAAAGTAACACTGAGGCCAAACCATACTATTACATTCTTTTTTTACTTGTTACTTCCCCTTAAATTGCTTACTTCCCTTTTCGTCTTTTAATGCTATCACCCAATGTGCTCAAGAATGTTACAAATTTTTACTCTTTTTCATCCAATGCTCTATATTACTACTGTTAAAATATACCCTTGTAGTTTTTAAGTTTGATATTTATTTTCTAAGTGATCACTCCAAAGCACAAAAAGTTTCCACTTATTTCTTGTGATTTGTGTTTTTGTTTAAATGCCGGGTGAGCACATTTTTTGCAAGCATTGCTAGCCGCACAGTATTGCTAACCTTAATCTTAATCGTGACCCTGACTCTAATCTTAATGATGAACATTGGTGCAAGCAGAAAAAAACTCGTTAAATGTTCTTTCTACCAGCATTTTATAAGAACGATTTTTATTTTGCTACAAAATTTGAATTACAATACTAAAGTAAAGTTGTTTTGTATTAACATGTTTGCTTGCTATATGTAAATTATGTACATTTAATTTATTTATGGTATTTTTTTTCAATCATGCCAAACATATTGTACAGTTTTGTACAGAAGTTTCTTTTATATGTGTACAGATGTCTTCTTTTAAAAAAGGCCACATAAACATAGTGTCGGAATCTATCACCATTCATATCAACGTATTATTTTTTTGAACAAATTTTCCTCAGCTTAATTTTTGTTTTCAGAAATGTTAAGCATGGTTTTACACAGTTTATTTGTTTAGGTGCTATTTTAACTTTTTTTTTGTTTTCAGATAAAACATTTTCCTGTTATATAATGTAAAAAAAAAAATTTTTGTATTTGTTTCATTTTCTTTGTAAAAATGTAGATCTAGTATTTTTTAAAGTGCAAATCTTTCTACAGTTTGTACAAAGACTTGTGTAGAAAATAAATAATGTATGTAGTTTTTCTTTGTAAAAAAATATATTTAAAAAAATAAATAGCTAATCTTTTACTTTGTAGGAATGGAATCACTGTTCCATGACATGTACATACTCACTGTTACTATAGATTGGTACTGTTAGTTTAACCATACCACAACATTGTGTTTGGGTTAAGCTTTGGCTTTAGGTTAGGGCTAGTCTTATCTCAATAGCGTAGCAAAGTTACTGTGTTTGGGTTAAGCTTTGGCTTTAAGTTAGGGCTAGTCTTATCTCAGTAGCGTAACAAAGTTACTTTGTTTGGGTTAAGCTTTGGCTTTAGGTTAGGGCTAGTCTTACCTCAATAGCGTAACAAAGTTACTGTCTTAGTCTACAGTATCAAATTATTGCTCATTCAATGTTTGTCTGTGTACTAAACTTTATTTTAAATACATAGACAGTTCATCAGATTTTATTTGTATATATCCCCGAACCTTTTGTTTTAATTACTTAATTTTTTCCAGTAATTAATCACCAATTTTTAAAATCTGCAAGAAATTTTGATCAATTTATTTCAGTATGCACAAAAGTCACAATCTGTCATACTTTTTATGTTAACTATATTTATCTCAAATAATGCTGTTAAAAATACCCATACCTTATGTTTATTTATTTACAATTGCCAATTATTCAGATGATGCATTGTGTATAAGACAATTAAAATAAAATTTAAAAAAAACAAAGTTTGTGCACCTATTAACAAGATAAAGTAAAAATAAAATGTTTGATTCGAAGTCTGCAATTTAAAAAACAAAGTTTATTATTTTAAAAGCTAACTTTAGTATTACTTAAAATTTTCAAATTAATTTATTTTTTCATAGCTTTAAAATGATTTACCACATATAAAAAAAATTTGACCATTATAATTATAATTTGTCCCCTTTGTTAGGGTTTTAAAACCTATACAATTTTTGGTGCAATACTTTTTTTTCTTAAATTTTGTTAAAAATCTGGGAGTATTTTTTACTGTATCTTATTATTAAAACATGTAGCATTCCAATTCCAACCTAACACATCTTTCTTTTGATTAAATGGCACCTTTATAATTTATTGAACTCTGAAATTTTTTAAAGAATTTAATTTTTTAACAACACTAACATTTAACAAGCACACTGTTTTTATTTATTTTTGTTGTTGAATCCCTTTCATTCCCCTTCAGATTTTATCAACTGAAATGTGTACATGAACTCAGTTTACCTGCAGTATGAAAAATGTTCCATTGAAACATGTTATGTAGAAATAAAATAATTAGAAAATATATGTGGCTATTTCTATATGTGTGAAGAACTGAGCGTAAATATTATTAGTACATGTATGTTAAAACTTATTAATTAC